GGTTAGGATCCCTTTGGGCTGGATCATATTGTAGAGGTCGAGGCCATTTGGTGTCCTTGATGTGTTCGATAGCTGATACAATGGCGACAACATTGACCTTAAAGTTGTATTCCGATAACCTCGGTGCTTCCTTAGGTCCGATAGGCCTTTCAAAACCATTCTTGCCCTTGAGTCCCCAGTTACTTTGACCTCGATCACCTCTCAATTCACTTCTTATGGGATTTATACCGGATCTGTTACCTCTTCGATCCCCATTGTACGATTGATAATGATCCCTGCTTGGTCTCGGTTCACGATCAATGTCTCTCTTGGCTCTATCAACGGCTCTAACGGGATAGATGGAGCCTGAAGGGACCCCAAGTTGATCATCTTCGACTTTGATTTTTGATTGATACCGGTTATGCACGCCGGCCCAAGTAACACCCGGATATTCTATCAGGTTTTGTTTCAACTGTTGTGAAGTCACTGAGCTTCAAACATTGAGTCCTTGGGTGAAAGCTTGAATGGCCTAATCGTCTGCAACCGGGGGTAAGTCCATTCTCTCCATTTGAAATCGGGACACGAACTATTTGAGCATTTGATTATCCCTTTGTTTTACTTTGAAGATGTCTTATTTCCTGGTCTCGACCTTGATAGCCCCGACATATGCTTTTACGAAGGAATCTGCAAGCATGACAAATGAATCAATAGAATTAGGAGGTAAGTTGTGGTACCATATCATAACTCTTTTTGACCGGTCTCTCCGAACTTCTTCAATAAGACAGATTCGATCTCATCATCCTCCAAGTCGTTCCCTTTGATGGAACATATGTAGGAGGTTACATGCTCGTTTGGATCGGTCATTCCGTTGTACTTAGGAATCTCCGGCATGCAGAAATTCTTAGGGATTGGCTTTGGAGCCGCACACTGAGGAAGAGGTTTTTGCACGAACTTCTTGGAATCTAGGCCTTTCAATATCGGCGGTGCTTTTGGGATTTGGTCGACCCTGGAATTGTAGGTTTCCACCTTTTTGTCATTAGCTTCAATTTTCTTCTTCCCTGATTCTACCCGTCTGGTCAGTTCCTCGAGCATCTTTATGATCTCGGGCTTAGTCCCTGATTCGTTTTTATTCGACTTTTCTACGATCGGTTCATCCCTACGGGTGACTTTCTAGGACGGATCGAGTTCAATTCTGCTCGGTGCACGGCTTTGGTTCTGTAACTGAGCTATCGGCGCCTGTTGAGCCTGCAATATTTTGAAGATCGCCCGTAGACTTATCCTGTCTCCTTCAATGTTTTGTGTAATTTGATCTGCCGATCGGGTTCCACCACAGACGCTATTCTCGGGGTCGATAGACAGGTTTGTGTTGATAGCCACATGTGAATTAACGTTAATTGGGTCTGCGACCGGAATTTCGATGGGATCAACGAGTGGTACCTCGTCACCGGGCGCTATGTTATTTTCACCGTGATGACTGGACTCATTGTCAACATGTAGGGGTGCTGATTGAGAGTTCGACATTTTGGGTTTTAACCTGAAATCAAAGACACTTCAAAGAACAAGTGTAAAATAGTGTGTGTTATGGAGATTTGTATCAAATATCCATTATTATCCTTAGCCCCACGGTGGGCGCCAAACTCTTTACCCTCAAAATCGAATAACAATTGAATTTGTAAGTAATTTTAAGGATACGTGGATTAACTTGACACAAAATGATAAATTAAATTACAATTAAAATAAATAATGATAAAGTAAATGTAAACCACACGAATTGAATAGTCTCAGCTTTGGAAGGTTAACCACCCTTGAGTCGGACGTACTTCGATCGTTATCAAGACATAGAAGAATAAGAGATTAAATAGAATAATAATGTATTGCTTTGGAATGCGTGTTATAATGTGTTTTACAAGTAATCAAACCCCTTTTATATAGTTGGGGAGTCCTACGTAAGTTACAACTCTATAAAAGGTAAAAAATCTTTTGATTTGCTGATTGCCAGTTCCTTATTGATACGTGCCGAGATTCCCGCCGTAATATACTCGGTCACGGATATTTCGATCTTCTGTTATGCTAACAATGTTTCTTCGAGGTCGTTTGAACCAGGACCGATTCCGGAGTCACGACCTAGGTGTTACCGAAGGCAGGTGTTTGGCCCCGGTTGCTAACCTGGTGGGGCTTGGGGCTGATCTTCAGTCCTTTATTGCCATGTTTCGAGCCCGGCCTATCATGTCGGATGTTAGGGTATACTACAATCTCGATTTTACCCGTATACACNTATATATATGATGTATTCACGACATCACTGGGTTTAATTTTGGGTCAATATATTATATTACTTATTACGTATTCTTTTTCTTGTTATAGAAGTGAATAAATAGTAGCAAGTATTAGTGTTTGCTACGCGACTAGTATGCATTCAGAAAATGAAATCTATATATTAAAGGAAAGTAATAATTAACCAAAATAAATTAAGGTATTTTGTAAAATTTCAGCATATTTATTGATAATTTTTAATGAATGCACCACCAATTGGGTGGAAAAAGCATGCGACGGTGTTGACCCAACTATCGCAACTACGGGTGTACAAATGAAACCAACAAATCGCACCAACCCGGAAAAAAAATCCGACTATAATTTAGTTTGGTGTTGGAAAAAAAAACCCGACCATATTTGGTTTGGTATGATTTTAACTAAAAAATGTCAAACCGAAACCAAACCAAACAGACATTATATGTATAGAAATTTTAAATATATTTAATACATAAAAATATTTATGGTAGTGTAGTTTATAAATATTTCTTAAGCTTTTTCATAATTTTATCTTTTAACGTATTATTTCAAGTTTGGACTTATAATTTTTGGATGCTCCAATAAATTTTATAGTCCATAAATATTAGTAACTCAAATAAATCCTAAACCAAAATCAAATCAAAACTAATGCTAATAAAAGACATTCAATTCAATTGTACTATGAATGAAAATAGTGTTGGATATCTATTTTTTAGTTTTTCCATGGTTTAGATAAAATGTATAACTTATTTTTTTTTTAGTGGTTAGTCATGTAAATAATAGTACTTATTAGTCATAATTTTAAATTATATTTGTTTTCATTATGACTTATTAATAATATTTATTTTATACGATTTTATTATCTTTATTGTTAAATATTTTAGTACAATGTCATGACTCATCTCATATTTATGTTATTTTATTGAAAAACACTTTATATAGTTCTGTCTTATTAGGATTAAAGAAATATTTGGAGCACAAAGTTTATGTTTTATGCTATGAAGACTTTATGAAAAAATATCCGAAAAAATCAGAAAATCCGAGATTAAAATGTAAGTTTTCCTACGTGTGTGGCCCAATAGGTTTAAGGTCCATAATTAATATTTATTTAATAAGAAAATCTCATCCGTCTGATCGATTATTTGATGGACGTACCGGATTAAATGAAAACTTCTATAAATTGGTCCTCTCCTCACCCATTAGGGTTACCACCTATTTTATTCTTCCTTTCCATCACTAAAGGCGGAGGTAACGAAAGTTAAAGCAAGGGGCGAGAAACCAATTCCAATTAACGCTTCCGCTTCGTGATAATGGCTTATGATTCAGGTATATTTTCTATAATGATTATATGTAAGATTGTTATGTTCAAGATCTTGGTATGAATTTAAAATTTACGCTTACTTGTGGTATCATGAGCATGGATATTTGAAATGATAATCTTCGATTGAAGAGATTAATTTCAAAACATACCGAGAGAAAGAATATGGCCGAATGAATGTAGTAACGTTTTGGTGAATATGAACTTTTGACATATATGATTCTTATGATTATGTGTAACCGTGTTAACGTAATTGATTACATTGTGATTATGAAAGTAATTAGACGTCCATCATTGATTCTTTGTTAAGGGTTCATGGAGTCTTACTGTTTTTTTTTAATTTGCTCTATAATTGAATTTTAAAAAAAAGGGATTTATTGTTCTCTAGCCGTGATTGCTCTAAAAAGAAGGGTAAAAGTATTTTCCTTCTTTGTATGTTTCAAGAGTTAAGGAGGTCTCAGACCGTGACCTTGTAATCTAAAAACTTGAGGAAATCTTTGATTTAATGAGTTCTGCCTCTCATCCTCTAATACCAAGATGAACCATTAATTTATTTACATATTGAATGGTTAAATACAAAGAATAATGAAGAATCAACATATTAGTTTGATGATTGAAAAAGCGGCGCCACACGATAATGAATTTGCAGTGCCGTCTAGGGATTAATATTAGGCATTTATATTGATGTTGTTACTAAGTTATCCCATTATGTCCCTGTTTTATAATTGTGGTCATGAAATTATGATTGTTTCTTTAGGCTACTATTTTAATATCAGGACCATTGATTATTTATATACGTGTTTAAAGTTATATAGTTTGTTAGTCAACAAAGTGATCAAACTAGATTGTTTAAAGTATTCACATGCATAAAATCTTCAAATATTTATTTTTTGTGTGCATTTATGTTTATATAGTTTGTTAGTCACCAAAGTGGCTAAACTAATATGTTCATGAAAAATATGCATACATAAAATTATAATTTATTCATAAAATTAATGAAATACCAATAATTAAAAAATTAGTGGATAAATTAATTTTCACTATTGCTAGAGCTTAAGGATTTACCCAAAGGTGAATCAATTATTCTATGAATAGTGAATATGATGAGGTAAAATTAATATTCTTTAATCAAATATATATTGTCTGTCCAAAGATGGCATATATATTTGGTTAAAAATATTTAATTACCTATTAAAGACTAAATGATATTTAAATTATGATAGTGTGTCGTAGTATTTACCCAAAGGAGAATTACGATATGCTTTAACTGTTTTGCTGAATCCATATTGATTTGTGAGCATGTATTATCTATTTTGCAGTTATTCCTCTTCATTCGCATGCTTCGTCTGTTACTGTGTTCAATGGATTGAACTTCTCTGAATGACATGAACAAGTCCAATTCCATTTAGGTGTAATGGATCTTGACTTGGCTCTACTGAATGATAAGCCCACTGCCATTATTGATACGAGCAGTTCAGATGACAAGTCTTTCCATAAAGCATGGGAACGCTTTAACAGGCTGAGCCTTATGTTTATGCGAATGAGTATTGCCAACAACATTAAGAGTACTATTCCACAAATAGAAAGTGCCAGGGAATACCTGAAGTTTGTGGAAGAACATTTTCGATCTGCAGATAAGTCTCTCGCTGGTACACTAATGGCTGAACTCACGACCATTAAGTTTGATGGGTCGCATAGTATGCAAAATCATATCATCGAGATGATTAACATTGCAGCAAGACTTCAAACCTTAGGGATGAAAGTTGATGACTCCTTCTTGGTTCAGTTTATTCTGAACTCGTTACCTCCTGAGTATGGACCATTTCAAATTAACTATAACACTATTAAGGATAAGTGGAATGTTAGTGAATTGTCCAGTATGCTTACTCAGGAGGAGTCAAGACTTAAGAAACAAGGGAGTCATTCAATTATCCCCATGGGTCAAGGAGCTAGTAAAGGACTTAAAGTGAAGGACAACAAGTTCAAAAAGAAGAAAGCACTTGCTAAAGCTCCGCAGGATGCTAAGAAGGAACATAAGGCATATACGTGTCGTTTCTGTAAAAAGGAAGGACACTATCAGAAAGATTGCCTGAAACGTAAAGCTTGGTTCGAAAAGAAAGGTACAGTTAGTGCTTTCGTATATTTCGAATCAAATTTAGTAGAAGTTCCTAATAATACTTGGTGGCTTGATTCTAGTGCAACTGCTCATGTATCTACTACATTGCAGGGATTCCTTACGATCCAAACTACAAATCCAAATAAGGATTTCTTGTTCATGGGAAATCGTATGAAGACTCAAATTGAAGGCATAGGGACTTATCGTTTGATCATGGAGATTGAACGTCATCTTGATCTATTACAGACTCTTTATGTACCTTCAGTTTCTAGGAATTTGATTTCTCTTTCAAGACTTGATGTTTCTGGATTTGATTTAAAGTTTGGAAATGGATGTTTCAATTTATATAAGAATGCTATTTTTTATGGTTTTGGTTTTCTTATTGATGGTTTATATAAATTGATACTCGATATTGATTTTTCTGAATCCCTTCTTACTGTTCAACATAATGTTAGAATTAAACGTAATTCACTAGATGAAAGTTCTACCTACTTGTGGAATAGACGTTTGGGTCATATATCCAAAGAAAGGTTAGAAAGATTAGCAAAGAATGATATTCTTCCGAATCTAAATTTTACTGATCTTAATATATGTTTGGATTGCATTAAGAGAAAGCAAACCAAGCATAGTAAGAAAGGTACCATAAGAAGCACCCAGCTTCTTGAAATTATACACACCGATATTTGTGGACCCTTTGATGTTACACCTTTTAGTGGAGAAAAATATTTTATCACTTTTATCAATGATTTTTTACGTTATGGATACATCTATTTCCTGAAAGAAAAATCTCAAGCAACAGATGCTCTCAAGGTGTTTGTTAATGAGGTTGAAAGACAATTAGATAAAGGGGTAAAAATCATTAGGTCAGATAGAGGTGGTGAATATTATAGAGAATATAATGAATCAGGACAATGTCCAGGTCCATTTGCAAAGTTCCTCGAGGAACATGGCATATGTGCATAGTATACTATGCTAGGAACACCTCAACAAAATGGTGTTGCAGAAAGGCGTAATCGAACACTTATAAATATGGTTAGGAGCATGATGAGTAATTCCTCATTACCCAAATTATTGTGGATGTATGCTCTTGAAATTGATATATATTTATTAAATAGGGTTCCTAGTAAGGCAGTTCCAAAGACCTATTTTGAACCGTGGTCAGGAAGAAAACCTAGTTTAAGGCACCTACATGTTTGGGGTGGCCCAGTGGAAGCTAGAGTTTATAATCTATAAGAAAAGAAATTAGATTCTTGAACAGTAAGTGGTTACTTTATTGGTTACCTATAGAAATCTAAAGGGTATGCGTTCTACTGTCCAAACCATAGTTCGAGAATTGTTGAAACTGGTAATGCAAGATTTATTGAGAATGGTGAAATTAGTAGGAGTGTTGAAAAACAAAGTGTGAAAATAAGAGAGGTGAGGGTCAATGTTCCATTACCCATGAATGTGCCTACTTCCATACAAATACCAAATATTATTCCAGTTATTGAAGAACACTTTGACAATACCGAGCAACATTTGGATGAAACACTTCATGAAGAAACTAACTCACAAATATCTGACACAAATGAACCACAAGAAATTCCATTAAAAGAAATCTCAAAGAGTTAGAAAACCATCTATTTCGGATGATTACGTGGTTTATTTGCAAGAGTCAGATTTTGAAATTGGTCTTAATAAGGATCCAGTTTCGTTTTCACAAGCCGTAGAAAGTAACGAGTCTGACAAATAGATTGATGCCATGAAGGAAGAGTTAAAATCTGTTGAATACAATAAAATCTGGGATCTCGTTGAATTTCCAGAAAGTTCTAAAAGAATCGGGTATAGATGGGTCTTTAAGACCAAACACGATTCAAATGGCAATATTGAACGATATAAAGCCAGACTTTTGTCACGAGTTATACTCAGAAAGGAGGCATTGATTATAAAGAGACCTTTTCACCGGTCTCAAAGAAAGACTCGTTAAGAATTATTCTGGCTTTGGTGGCTCATTATGATTTAGAGTTACACCAAATGGATGTGAAAACTTCCTTTCTTAATGGAGACCTCGAGGAAGAAGTTTATATGGACCAACGAGAGGGTTTCTAAACTAAAGGAAGTCAAATGGTGTGTAAACAAAAGAAGTCAATATATGGACTTAAACAAGCCTCACGACAATGGTATATAAAGTTTAATGATACCATAACATCTTTTGGATTTGTGAAAAATACCGTTGATCGATGTATATACCAAAATATCAGTGGGAGCAAGTTTATATTTTTAGTCCTATATGTTGATGATATTCTACTTGCTGCTAATGATTTAGGCATATTACGTGAGACTAAAGATTTTCTCTAAAAGAATTTTGAAATGAAAGATATGGGTGAGGCATCCTATGTGATAGGAATAGAAATATTCCGTGATAGATCACAAGGATTATTGGGATTGTCTCAGAAAGGCTATATCGAAAATATTCTAGAGAGATTTAACATGAACAATTGTTCAGCAATAATTGTTCCAATTCAAAAAAAAGGGACAAATTTAGTCTCATGCAAAGCCCTAAGAATGATATAGAACAAAAAGAAATGGAATAAATTCCTTACTCTTCTATTGCTGGTAGTCTGATGTATGCTCAGACTTATACAAGACCGGATATTAGTTTTGCGGTCGGAATGCTAGGAAGATATCAGAGTAACCTAGCAATTGATCACTGGAAAGCTGCAAAGAATGTTTTGAGGTACCTGAAAGGAACGAAGGATTACATGCTCATATATAGGAGATCCAAGAATTTGGAAGTTGTTGGATACTCGGATTCAGATTCCGTCAGATGTATTGACACTAGAAAGTCCACATTTGGTTATTTGTTCCAATTAGCTGAAGGAGCAATATCACGGAAGAGTGCCAAACAGTCTGTCATTGCTACATCCACGATGGATGCAGAATTTCTGGCATATTTTGAAGTCACAATTCATGCATTACGGCTGCAAAACTTCATTTCAGGACTTGGGGTTGTCGATACCATTACCAAGCTGCTAAAAATTTTACAGTGATAATTCTGCAGCAGTATTCTTCTCCAAGAACGATAAGTACTCCAAAGGTGCCAAACATATGGAACTAAAGTACTTTATGTCACGAGCCAAAATTTCACCTGTCGTGATGACACCTATCTCAATACTAGGCAAGCCGACAATCTCAATAAACCACCATATCTTTTAAATTTGAAAACATAATAATTAAATTCAATGGAAGAAACTCACAATTTCAAATATAACACTCCCAAAACCCGGTGTCACAGAGAACATGAGCATCTAATATGAATACAATGCCTGACTGATAAAAACCACTGTCTGAAAGTATAGAACAATACAATACTTGAAGGAAAGAGAGACAAGGTCAGCGGACGCCAGACAACTACCTTGATAGTCTCCAACTGGTAACTCACTGAGGTCTACCAACAGCCTTGTCTAGAAGCACCTGGATCTGCACACAAGGTGCAGAGGTTAGTATGAGTACAACCAACTCAATAAGTAATAAGACTAACCTCCGGGCTGAAAGTAGTGATGAGCTCTGGAGATACAGTCCAGTATAAATAATGGTACATAAATATAGGCATGGTTCCAAGTTCAACAGTTAAACTTAGTACAAGCGAAATAGATCAATACTTCATGATATAAGGAATATGACATCTCAGTAGAGAGACTTCATGTAAATACTGGTCACAAATTATTCGGAGGGGCTCCTTCAGCCCAAGCGTGATATAAAGCCTTTATGGCCTACTGCAGCCGGGCAGTCCCGATCCGTATAATAATAAAGCCTATAAGGCCTGCTACAGTCGGGTAACCCCGATCCATAAAATAGTAAAGTCTATAAGGCCTGTTGCAGACGGGCAGCCCACATCCAAATGATAGTAAAGCCTATAAGGCCTGCTGTAGGTGGGCAGCCCCGATCCATAAAATAGTAAAGCCTATAAGGCCTGCTGTAGGCGGGCAACCCCAATCCAAATGATAGTAAAGCCTATAAGGCCTGCTGTAGGCGGGCAACCTCGATCCAAATGATAGTAAAGCCTATAAGGCCTGCTGCAGGTGGGCAGCCCCGATCTATATAATAATAATGTATAAAGTCATTATGGCCTGCTGCAGGCGGGCAGCCCCTATCCATATAATAATAATAATAATACTAATATATATATACACACACACATCGACTAATAGTCAGTCTCTCAGTACCGTATAAGGCTAATCCAGCCCAGGAAAATTTATCCCTAAATGTAAACGATACGAACAAGATCCAAATCCAGGAAAATTCATCACAATATAAATAATTAAGGAAAGTACATGCCCTAGAAAAATCCATCCCGAATATATATAATCATCTACGCTCACTGGGGGTGTGTACAGACTCCGGAGGGGCTCCTTCAGCCCAAGCATGATATAAAGCCTTTATGGCCCACTGCAGTCGGGCAGTCACGATCCATATAATAATAAAGCGTATAAGGCCTGCTGCAGGCGGGCAACCCCGATCCATAAAATAGTAAAGCCTATAAGGCCTGCCGCAGGCGGGCAGCCCCAATCCAAATGATAGTAAAGCCTATAAGGCCTGCTGTAGGCGGGCAGCCTAGATCCAAATGAGAGTAAAGCCTATAAGGCCTGCTGCAGGCGGGCAGCCCCGATCCATATAATAATAATAATGTATAAAGTCATTATGGCCTGCTGTAGGTGGGCAGCCCCTATCCATATAATAATAATAATAATACTAATATATATATACACACACACACATCGACTAATAGTCAGTCTCTCAGTACCGTATAAGGCTAATCCAGCCCAGGGAAATTTATTCCCAAATGTAAATGATACGGACAAGATCCAAATTCAG